AGACAATTGTAGAGAATTCGCAAATATATCATATACACCACCATGCATTATAACGAATTCCCGGCGAATGCGAATTCATTTCTTAGAACATCAAATTCTCGGCGGATGCGTATTGTGCAAGCTATGCGTTCAAGAAGACTTTGTGCGTGAGTTCGACGGTTCAACGAAGGACGAAGAGTACAATGCTTGGAAAGCATCAGTTTCACTTGGCGCCAAGCTAAGTTTTATAAACATCCTTAACATATCAGCTAGCTACGGGCGAAATACATCGCAGACAAATTTTCAAAGTTACTCGAATTCTCTCCAAGAAACAAGGATCGAGTCGCAGGGCGGAAAGCCATTTCTTGTGGGAGACTCTGTTGCTGATTGGCAATCATCCGTCGAGAATCGTCCCATTATTCTTCAACGTATGGTAGAGAACATCACAATGGCCATCGAACCTGAACAGATTCGAGAATTAAATGAACTAGACATTCAGAACGTGGTCAATGAGCTGAATCAAGCCATTGATACTTATGTCAATTTAAATTCGATTCATGGCTGTATGGACCGACGGTCGAGTTCGTTCAACTGGATAGCAAACGTCGATGACGCCTCTTGTGCCAATTCCACCTACAACGCGCAATTGGGCGGTTTTTTCACTGACTGTACAGCTACGTGTATGTGGTCTTGCAATCGAGACGTGGAAGTTGAATTCTGCCGTCAAAATCGAAAAGAGAATTTCTTTACAAGCAGTTTATCGTGTCCAAGCGGGTTCAATCGCTATCGATTACACCGATCCGTCAGCAGTAAACCCTTTTACAAGAGGGAGTGCCACTCTTTTTTGCACTTCTGGGAGACGTGTGAAGAGAAAATGCTCGGATACGTGATGGTAGAAATAATTGTGTATGCGTGCAATGCGCGTGGAGCAACGCGACTCTCACCCAACGCACCTCTTAGGATTGATTCGAATTTTGTGTTTGGTGGTTTCTACTCTACATCAAAAGTCAATCCACTAACAAATGCCCAATCGTGTTTGAAACACTTTAAGCCAAAATCAATCACCAATGATATTTTTATCTGTCTGGCTAAGCAACTTGACAATACAGACAACTTGCCTAACTATGGTGGGATGTTCAGTTGTAACTCTACTAATCCGGAAGTCGACAGTGAATATAGCAATGATACTGACAATGACTCAGCGTGTCCACCAGGCTACAGTTCAACCATAATTGGGATGTTGGCAGGAGACTGTGCTCTTTCCGTCTGTCTCCAGTTTCAAAACAGTGAACAGCAACAATTTCCTACAGCAGCACTACCACCTTTCTTTGATTTGCCCGAACGAAATATCACGGACAAAAGTTCAATCGTAGAACCAGCTAACGAAACGAATCCATCATCTATAACAACAACGACATTCCGCCCAACAAGAGACGATGAACAGTACACGGATGGAGCCTCCATGACCACTAGAAGGGTACGGTCCATAGCAGGTAGATCTAGCAAGAACAGTAATAATAAACTTGTGATCGGCTATTCTGCCATCCTCATTTACAATTTACTCGTTTACATTGTATATTCTATAAACTAAATAACGCCTTCTTTCAAAGTGATCTCTAATAAAATGTTAATCTGGATGAACGGGTTTTGAAAGATCTCATAAACGAGTTAAACCACGGTTGCCCTAAGAAAGCGTGGTACATTTGAAAAATAAGATGAATGTAGCTTACGATCAGAAGACACCAATAAAAAAATATTTCCATCTAATTAAGCTACAATATCAACCTTGCTTTCTGACTTTTTTTAAATTCATAACTCATTCGAAATTGTTCCAAACGGCTTCAGAATATCAACATATGCTCGATTTTATCTGTTTAACGATTTCCGAGAACTTTCCAGAAAATCTTTCAGAATCGAAGTACTTTCTGTTGGTTTTTGACACTGTTACTGCGCTTCCTGGTGAAAAAATCTGCGGTTGGTCTAGCTTGGCAGAGGAGATCCTGGGCTATCAAATTAACTCATTTTTTTTCCAAAACTCCTGATTGCAGAGCTGGGCAAGTCACGGATTTTGCAAGTCATAAGTCAAGTCAAGTCACCAAAAATTTTCTTAAGTCAAGTCGAGTCAAGTTTCGGGTTTTTCCAAGTCAAATCAAGTCAAGTCACAAGTCATGACTTGAAATTTTTTTCCGTAGAAAAATTCCCAAAGCGGAGCTGGGCAGGTTACAGTTTTTCTCTGAGCTTCGGCTTTTTGTTTAGATACGATGTTTCTTTTTCGTATTTCAAAAGATAATCATAAAAAAGACAATGCTCTGATGAGCCTAACATAGTTCATATTATTCATATTATAACAGGTTTGGACTCAACTGAGATACAATCCATATTGTGATCAAGTAGCTCAGTTGAGATGTTACGTTATAACATCAACATTCCCAAAACATTATGAATTATTATTTAAAATTAGATTGCATAAGAGGTTTGAAAATATGCGTGACTTGACTTGATTTTTTATGCCGAGTCGCAAGTCAAGTCACGTCTTTTAAAAATATTTTCAAGTCAGGTCAAGTCAAGTCATGAGTCATAAAAAATTTCTCACGTCAAGTCAAGTCAAGTCATTTTTGACTTGACTTGCCCAGCTCTGCCTGATTGACAAGGTGGTTTTCCGAAAACCTTCTTGAAAAATCACCTGAGAACTTTGGTTCCTATATACAGTTATACTATATAAGCCGTGTACAGGGCTGAAACCAAATATCGTAATCATAGTCTAAAGAAGTTTCTATTTGCTCCTTTGTCATTCTTCTTACAACACTGGGATGAAGAATCTTATCTAAAATCACAAACCTTGACTGTCTTACAAATAAATTTTTGGCTATATTCTACCCAGAGTTGCATGCTATAAGAAGATTATTTGTGGCACACGGCTTTATTTTTGTTTTTCTTCAAAGTAGAAAAACAAAATTTTTCAACGAAATTATATAAATAAAAGAAAAGAAGATTCACATTTTTGTACAAATTTCAAAATGGAAGAAAAGATATAGACACATACAAAGAAGAACGAACTCTATAGAAATCACACCGATGATCTTTGGCGAAATTTTGTTAATACTGTTGATAGACGCGTTTGTTGTGAAATATCTGTTGGATAAGGATCATTTCTAACTGAATGAATAGACGATGCAGTAGTAGGTAAAAGAGCATTCTCACTTGAAATACGCTTTTCTGATGACATTAATGGTAGTTTTGTCGACGATGACACGCTGCGATGATACGGGCGATTTCGATTATCGTTAAATTGATCTAAACGTGGAATTTCGTTCGAAGCGTGGATTGATTCTTGTTGTCCAGTAGCTGCTCGTAAACGAGTTCCTGTTATTACAGAATCCATTCTTTGTAATGGAATTAAATGAGCAATTTTGCCTGGTGAACGTCTTACAGTATAACGCTTTTTCTTTCTTTTTAAACATCCAAAACAATTGCATGGTTTTGAATCAGATGTGTTTGATAAATATTCAAGATGTTCGGCAAGTATTCTTAAATCACCTGAATAGAAGAAAAAAAATGCGTCAAGTTTAGTTTGGATAATACGAATAATCTTACCATTTGCTGTTGTTATTACATCACTATCAAATCTTAAAGAATTTCTCACTTGAGATTCGATTTCCTCTCGTCTTTCATCTTCTGTATTCATTGTTAAAAATCTTAGTACTAGTAAATTCATAGATGATGCAACAACAGTGAGTCCAAATAGAATAAATGTCATGGCTAATACAACATAGAGTGGATTTGAACTTAAGGCTTGATCTTTTTGTAATGCGACAAAATCACCGAAACCTGATAACAAAGCAAACAATCGTCAAATAAATACGTCGATGATGTCTAAATGTATGGTTAATATTATATACCTATGGTTGTCAATGTTATGAAACAGTAATAAATGCAATCGAAATACGTCCATTGTTCGAAATGATGAAACATGGCTGCACCTAAAGAAAGAAAATGTTTATTAAATATTTTGAAACAAAGTTTTAAGTCTAATTCTGTTCATATAAAGAACATAACTATTTAGATTTCATTTAGAAAAAGAAATAGCATTATTTGTGGTTTTATAACACATTTCTCACATATCAGACGAACAGTAAACACAACAATAAACACGTGTTAGGTTTTTCATAGTTTTATATAACAGTTCAATAAATGACTTACCTCCTGTTACAACACCTACAGCCAAACAACTTCCAACCACCACTAACTCCGTTTGTGTTGCATCGTAATCACGCAACTTAAAACATCTTTTTATGGTTTTTATTCCCCATCCGGCAAAATTATTTAAACGTTCACCAACAGACTGGAACATTACGAGACAAAGAGGTATGCCAATAATAGCATATAACATACAAAATGATTTGCCAGAGACTAAAATAATAAAAGACTTTAGAAGTCTAATAGTACAAGAATTAGTTTAAGTACCATACCTGTTGTAGGGCACGAATGTCCATAGCCTAAATATAAAAATTCACGTAAAATATGTTGTTAGCCATTTTTTGCTGTATTTCAATGGCACTCAAGAGAAGAATTATCGAAATTATTACTAAACATTACTACACGAGAAATTTCATCTTTAGGCTTTATATTAACAAAGAAGATGATGAACTTTAGTTTTTGATATACTATGTAATCTTCAACGAGCCCCGAGAGCGTATAACTACGGATTAATTACGGATTATCTAGATGATCATCTTTAACATCTATATTACTTTCTGATATGATAAATCATTACGTTTTAGGATGCAGTTTCTTTGACAATAGTTAATATTTAAATCAATTCGTTCCAAAAACTATACTATAAAAAGAAGTGAAAAAGTTATTGTGAACATAGTTTCTCCTTCGTCATAAGTTATGCATTTTAGTCTTTTTAGCACTTTTCTAACTAAATGATCTTGAATCACTATAAGCATTTGACCCAGTAATGCAAAATGTTAATACCTTCTTTCAGTGACGGATCGAGCCATTGTGCGGTACGTGGCACAGTGGACATCCAAGCGAAAATTTGGCGAAAAATCGAAATTTCTCGTTTTTCAAATATAAA